TAATTCATTGGTGGATAAAGATTTTGTGAGTTCCAATCCACCAATGAATTAATGTGCCAATTCATTGGTGCTTAGGATAAGATGAGCACCGGTGCTCATTAGATCATTTCTGTATATATATATATATATTTTTTTTTTTTTTGACCCTTTTAATAGACTTTTGTGGCTGATTATCAATACATTTTTAACTGGGAAACGATGAATTTTATATGAATTGCGTGAAAATGTGCAAGTTGTGTTCTAACATTGTAATGTATTATTACATCCAAAGAGATTATAAAAGCATACACAGTGTATATAAGGATGTGATTTTGGTGAATTCTGTAAAAAAGGGTGTCCTGCTTACGATATGCATTGCCAAAACAAAAGAAAAATTATTTTTTTCCATCACAATAAGCTTCATTCTTTAGTCATTCGATTCTGATTTTTGAATGAAATAAGCTTATTATTCAGTTACTTGGACTCATTACATATATTTATATCAAAATTTAGTCCCACTACTGCAAAAACATTTAGTGTAGCAAGATTCAAACCCAGAGAATAGAGTAAAGAGAACGGAGGAGATGAAGGGTTTAACATATTGTCAATTTACCTTGGTCATTATGGCATCTCCAATCCAACAACAAATCAATTTGGTGCAAAAATTCGCTCCAACTCATCACCAATTCTCTACGCCAATGTGGTGTAGAGAATTTAATAGGTGGTGTAGATTTAGAACGAGATAGATATAAAAGCGATGTAGATATATATTGTTTAAATGAATGGATTTAGTAAAGATAATGTTGAAATGTAAGAATGATGGATAAAAATAGCGACTTCCTAAAAAATTTATCATTTTTTTTCTTTCTCGATTATCGAATCATCAGACATTACAAACAGAGTAATGTTATTTGCAGTCGCTCACCATCGTAATCGTCCTGCGTGACATAAATGTGGCAATTAGTGACTTAATGCATTAATATTGCATTTTTTGATTATTTAATGCATCAAAATGTATACCAACGCAAGACAATTACGGTAGTGAACGACTGTAATAGTATTATTCATACAAAAATATCTTCTTTATCTAAGACCAATCGAATTTTAACGAGGATCAAGACCCAAACCATCGCTTTCAATGAATTTGGACAAGTTTTTGAACCACTTTCAATGCGTGTGTAACCACAATTTGCTGCGTAAAGTTTAAACCAAAGTGCTTTGTCCTAAGTATAAGGTAGAACTACAACACGGGACTACCAAAAAATGAGTATATATATTTATGTGGCTATGATTTGTTGTCACCTTGGCAATAATGATTCAAACCAATATTATATTAAACTTGTTTGTGATCATGATAATAATGATGAGTTCATAGGACAAAAGGGCTTTCAATTCATCATATTTAATGGGATGACACACTTTCCATCTATGTTTGCCTTGTCGGAATTTTCCATGCGAATTTCATATATAATATTTTTTATGTGAAAAATGGACGCAGTTACAGCTATAACAAAATAGTTAATACAAAGTTTATTATTTAGAGGAATTTACCGACTCAATATCAAATTTATTGTAAATACGACTTCATTTTGTTATTGTTTGTTTGCGCGTTCAGATTATCCTCAATTTTGTTAGAAAAATTCATTTGTTTTTCTATGCTATTTTTTAACTATCTATCATGACTGTTGTTTTTACTTTTGCTTACAGTATAAGAGATTTTGGATGAAGTTACTTTAATTTTTGTTCGAAAATTACTTTTGAAAAGTATAAGAAGTGTTATTTGAGGAGGCCATATTAGACAAACTTCTTGTAAAAACTCTTCCAACTACCAAAAATACTTTCACAAAATTAATTAAAAAGGTCCAAAAACATTTTTAGATCTTAAAAACTCATTTTGACTTTTCAAAAATAATGTCAAACGGGCCCTGATTACTAGTTTGTCTTTAAGTCATCAACCTTATCTTCAGAGAGATGAAACGTCAAGCAAAAAAATTGTTTCTTGGATACCCTTAGAAGAACAAATATTCATTTTGTCAAGGTCCATTGATTAATTTTTGCATTCTTAAATTATAAGGTGAAAGAAACGTGGGATCTAGTAGTATATTTCTAGATCTTACTTGGCAACCTAAGCGAATCCAAAAATTTACAGGTATTTGAAGTTGAGTATTATTGACCTACGAAATATTTGGATCTGAACGAGAATCAAGGAAGGCTAATTGAAATATGCACCTGTTGCGAGCTCATGGAAATTCATCTTTATAGAAGCATTGCACTTTATATTTGACGAAATGAGATACTTCGCCAACGTATCGAAGCATGTTTGTTTTCCTAGTATTCGAGCCCCCATCAAAACCTCATCATATAGAATAAACTTTACTTGAACCTCTTCTATGAAAAACAAACCATTTTCTAGCCTTTTTTGATAACGACTTATTTAGAAAAGTAATAGACATTGTTTATCTATCTTTTCGAGATTAAACGAAAAGTGATGATATGAGTTTTTTAATCATATATTTCCAACTTTATCAAATTCTAAGAAACCGGAGAAAAAAGTAAAAGAAAATGTCGATTTGTTGTATCATCAATGATGACTATACTCATCTATCGAGGTGCATGTGGCTGCAAATTGTTCCAATAAGTGAAATAAATTTTCACAAATTGAGAGTGCCCAAGTGTGCCGTCTACGTTGATTCATCACTAACAAGTTCTTCCAATTTACTGTATTTGGACTGGATTATTACATCAATGAATGTGCTTTTCTTTTTTATTCAGTCACCAAACAAACAAATCATAATTAAAATTGTTAAGAATTATTTAGATATCACTTATCAGTAAATAAAGGAACGAATATACTACGGATAGAAGACGAGAATTTATTAACATCAATTACAAATTATTATGTAGAATGTAATGATTGATTTTTCTATAAGTTTACCCTCTTTGTGTGTAGTGCAAAGAAAACTCTAAAATGTGGAGAAGTTCAACTATAATAAGTCTATACAATAATTGAATGTTTGAGATAAAAGAAGATTCAAAAATTTGTCAAAAACTAGAAATGTTAAAAATCCGGATTAGACCATTGCTCGAGCGGCAGTCTCGCGACTATTGAGTGGTGGCCTATCGCTCGAGCAACCGCCTCGTGGAAAGTGAGTGCCAATGCTAGTTCTGAGCGCTCGAGCGAGAGTTGAGCGCGTAGCAAGCGCCTGTTCGTTGTTTCCTTTTCCTTGCACGATTGCTTCTCCTTCTATTGCAACTTGAACTCCTTCACATGTTCTTCAAATCCAAAATAAATTCCAAACTTCCAACAAAACTCTCAAATTGAATTCCAACTAGAATTCTCAAATCGACTTCAAATAATATTTCAAATAAAATTTGGGTTACATCCTGATTCTTATAAAAAAATATTATATTAATTGTGGGAATCCCATCATCGAAGCAAGTCACTATTTAACCAATCAATGGAAATATTGGACAACACTGAATTATTGGCCATCAATGCACTGATAGATGTGTCTTTTTTGGATTATTTTGCCATCTTGCAGCATATTTTTTATTAGATTAATTTTGCCATATTGCAGTACATTGTTTAACATATAACTAGAAAGCTACAAGGGCTACACCCAACAGATATTCTTATGATTGTGATGACTCTCGAGGTTCTAAAATAGTGATACTTCGTAGTTTTCTAACAAAATATATCCTAAATTATTGTATTTTATATAATATAGGTAAAACTTAATGGTTGAACAAAGAATTGAAAGAAAGAAGCGAAAATTGGTGAAAATGACGAAGTCAAAAGTTTGAGGACCAAATTATAAATATTCAATAATTGATTTGGACCATAAGACGATATTTTGAAGATTGCTATGAGACATTGGATGAAATTAGAAGTCAAATGATCAAAATATTATCACAAATCAATTTCCAATAGCACAAGTTATAGTTCAAAAATTTAGCTGAAAATTGATATTTATACTGTAAAGGTGATAGAGGTATAAATCTTCTGTATCTAGTTCTCTATGTTGATGATATTTTGCTTGTCAGTTGTGATAAATTTGAAATTGATAATATTAAACTGAAATTGAAGTTTGAATTTGAAATGAAGGATCTTTGTTCCGCTAAAAAGATATTAGGTATGCATATTTGGAGAAATAAAGAGAAATACTTGTTATTTTTGAATAAACACGATTATGTGATTAAAATTTTGAAAAAGCTTAATATGCAAAATTGTAAACCTGTGACATTGCCTCTTGCTAATCATTTTAAGCTATCTTATTTTTTGTCCTAAGTCTGATAAAGAATATGCTAGAGTGTCTAAAGTTCCTTATTCAAATACTATTGGTTCTGTTATGTATTTGATGATTTGTACCGACAGCATTTGCATAAGGTATTTTAGGCATTCAATATGTATTTGATGATTTGTACCATTCCTGATCTTGTATTTAATATTAGCAAATTGAGCAGATTTATGAGTAATCTTGGGGAAGAACATTGGAATGTCTTAAAATGGTTATTTAAATATATTAAATGCACACATAATTTAGGTTTAATCTTTAAATCAAGTAAAAATAATGTTACTTTAAAGGGATATATCGATTTTGATTTTGCTAATGATAGAGCTACTAGGAGATCAACTTCATCCTATGTTTATACCTTATGTGGTACAACTATTAGTTGGAAATCACAACTTCAAAAAGTTGTTGCTCTATCTTCTACGGAAAAAAAATATGTTGCTGCTACTGATACTGTAAAAAAGGGAATGTGGTTAAATGGTTTATTGTCTGAACTTAGTTTTGCTGACAATCATGCTATGCTGCTATCTGATAATCAAAGTGCTATTCATTTGACCAAAAATCCTATGTTTCGTGATAGAACAAAACATATTAATGTTAAATATCATATTATAAGAGACATCATTTAAAATGGAATTTTTAGAATTTGAAAAGTTTCAACTCAACTCAATCCATCAGATATGGGTACAAAAGTGATTCCTTTGAATAAGTTTATAAATTGTTTGAAACTTTTATCCGTTGATTCTTTGTAATACATCTACAGATACTTAGAGCAAATAAAAATTGATGAAGATTGTGCTCAGGCCTACACTACATCCCAAATTCTGGTAGCAAGGTAGATAATGTGGGATTTGAACCTGGTTCGAATTGTGCTCCCATAATTTGTACTGAAATTTCGTTGTTGTCCTTTTGGCTCGAGTATTTCACCTCAACGAGTCTATGCTCTTTTTTCTATCTTTCTTTCGCAACGTTCATCCAAGTCCAAAGTTGACTATAAAATACAAGGGCATGAGAAAAATATAGCATCTCAACTCAACGATTAAAGTAAGTATAATAATGTACGTAAATTAGTGTAACTCTCACCCTTATCACATATGCACTTTTCTCTTTTATTTTCAAATTTGGTGTGTAATTAGGAGTGCACACACATCCGTTTATATCATATTGTAATGATCTAAAAAATTAACTGCTTAATTTTAAATATTTATTCTTGCAAACATGCGATGGACACTAGAAAAAATTGCAAAAAATAAAGTCTTCTTTTCCCAAATTGAAGTAAATTTAACAAGAAAACGCGTGAGTATAAATTGTGAGATGCAATATTCAGTTAAAATTTTTGGCCACTTTTTTAATAAAATTAAATAGGTAGTTTTCCTTCAATTTGCAAACGAAACATAATGACATCATAAACTCAGCACATAAATTACATTCAATAATATCCAATACATTGGAAGGATCTAAAAACCCTTATTGAAAACATGACGTTGTTGTTTAAATTATACACAACAAGTATAAGAAATTATGTACAATTTCAACACTCAGTTCACTTTTCTGCAGTTGGATCGAATTTGGCCCCTCTCCCCTGTTAATGGCTTTATATTACCCATTTTGATCATGGACCCTCTGAAATCTTTCCAAAAGTTACCATAGTTTGCACTATAATTTTGAACAAGATCATTTGTTTCATCGCCACTGAATAGTGCTTGATCTGATTTCAATAGCCCTTTCTTCAACAACAAGTTGTCAAAATATTGTGTGTCAAAATGCGATGGCGTTTGGTCTAGTGTCGCTAGATTCGTATCACCTCCCTCACGAGGGCAGTTCATTCGACGCCTACTTGCAAAGCTGGCATCAATGTCATCCGTCTGAGTGTGAATCCGATCTTTAAACAGAAGACACTGAGAAAACCCTAGGGTGTGAGCACCGGAGAGGACGACTAGGTCTTTGGCATTTAGGCCTTGATTCTTGAAATTGTTAAGCAATGTAGGTAAGTCCATGAATGGGCTTGGAATGGAAGTGTTTGCTTCAGTTTTGTTAGATGTGGTGGAGTCTCTCCTTCCTAGTCTAACCTTCCATGTTGGACCTCCTAACTACAATTAATGGAAACCATTATTAGAAAAAAAAACACTTTAAGAATTGACGTGTGTATAATAATAAATATAATACACACCAGAACCACAGAATCCCGAGCTGCAACTGCTAGAATGTCAGCACATGACACCACGTGACGTCCACATACTTTGTCAACTTCCGACTTGATTTTGTCAATCACTTCGAACCCCCTAACAGAATTGTTATTAGGGGCAGCATTCTTTTCACTCTCGATGGTGGAGGTTTCGTCGAGGAGAATTGAACCATCACAACCCTAAAAATATGCAAGAAATGTAGTAATTAAATATATGATCTCTTTCCCCCCCAAATTAAATTTAAAACCCATACTATCACAAAAAATGCATAACATATAACTTGTAATACGTACTTGAACGAAACAATCGTGGAAATGGAGACGTAACAAAGAGGCTCCCATACGACGTTCTTGATTCACTGCATCTTCAACTACGCGTTTGATGGTGCGTAAAGCTTCGGGGCAAACATCATCATAATAGGAAGGGCTGAGACGAGAGGAGAAAGCTAGGGTAACATCTGAAAACATGGCTAAGGCAAGAAGGTAGTACATAAAGCTAATTGAAGCCATTTTTGTAATGACCTTCTAATTATAAGCAAAATGTAATGTAGTTTTATATAGCTGCAGATTATTTTTCTTTGATGAATAAAGTATAGTGTATTTATAGGGGGAAAGAAAAGTTGGACTAAACCAAACTACATTGGTGCAACGATTTTTAACCTACTGAAATAATATAAATTTATATTAGGAAGCTTCCTTTAATTTAATTCATGAGTGATTTCGAAACTTAAAGCATTCTTGCAAGAAAGAGACTTGAAAAATGAACATTTTGAATAGGTCTTGTGAATAAATTAAAACAAGTTCGTACTAACCGGTTTAAAATAAAATGAAACTGGCTAATAGTTTGGCATATAAACTATCGAATACATTTTTCTTGATAATTAATCTTTGATACAAAGTACTATATTAGTGATACTTGGATTTCTCAATAGTATAAAAATATAAATTTCAAGAATTGTGAATCTACGTTATTGAAATGTTTAGCATATTAAACTTGAAAATATTGAACATGACTAATGGAAAAAGTTGTAATCTTATTTGTCATCGTGTACAATGTTGTCGTGCCCTTGAGTTTAACTCAGCAAAACCTTTGCCATTCTCATCTCTGTCCAAATTAATGAATGGAGTTAGTAGATTTGAAATTAGAGAGTTGTCCATTAGACTGCAAAACCTCTGCTTAAAATATGATACATATTAACGTTCACCTCGCAGACTTAAGAATATTAGGATTTTATTATATTTATATCATGCTGTGTAGGCCGTGTAATATGCTATATTTCACTAAATATTATACAAGCACGCCATATGAGTAGAGTTAGTAATCTACAAGCCCGATGGCCCGGCCAATCTCCAGTAAGGGACGGATTAGTAATCTTAGGCTCGTCCCGATGGCCTGGCTGATCTTTGATAATTATCCGAGTAGTAATATTAGAGGGCTCATGAGTTCTTGATGACATGAATTGATGATTTTGACTGTGTCCTCTAAAAGAACGCTATGCACATTGTATTATATGTCACTAATAATCAAAATGTTCGATGGTGGTCAAGAATACGTATTTTTCAATTTGTTCTTAACAAATTGACAGGAAACCTAAACGGGCATAATCTTCTTAACTAACAAGAAAAAAATAAATTAGGAAACCCCATTTTCCACGAAAAACAAGAAATTGTCTGAGACCAAGTAAAGAAATTTCATTAGAAAATTTTCATTTTCTTGGTTGAGTTATATACGCGCGCACACTATCATGCTGGAGATCATAAAATTTAACTTAAAAAATTCAAATTAGAATTTTAAAATTTATATGTATTCCTTTTAGTCTACCTGAAAAATCCTGAAGTAGTTTTGGTCGCTCTTCCTTCCTCCAGTAATGATGATTGCGAAATATCATCTTTTGGAAGCATGACCTGATAAGTAGTGCGTTGGCGACCCAACCTTGTTACTCACATAAGAGCTCATTTTTGAGGATCGACGGATCGAGAACAACCTACAGATCTGGTATTCTATTCTTCTAATATTGTCTCACCAGGGCCGTGACATTGAGGTTATGGTGTCATAGTAGCATTACATCTATTTTCTATTTCTTTCTTCTTTTTTATTTATGCCTCTGTTGCTGGGGATGGTGGGATTGGATTTGATGTAGAGGTGGTGGTGGGTTGTTTGGTGGTTGTGGATTGAGGTATAGCTAGTGATGATGATGGTGGAGGTAGTGGTGGTTGTGCTACAGTTGGTACGTTGCAGGTGGTGTCGGTGGTGATGTATCTAAGGTTGCAGTGGTCTAGTTTGTGGTGCAGGCGGCGAAGGTGGTGATGCGTTGCAGGTGGTGAAGGAGATGGTAGGTGGTGGGTGAGAATAAGAGTATTTGTGACCAATTATTTAATTATTGTGACCAATAAATTACTTAGTCAGTGACCAATATATAATATGTAGTGACCGATGAAATATATAACTTGTGACTAATAAATAATACATGATCGATGAAATATATAATTTATGACCATGAAATAATAAAAGATCTAAAAAATGTGAAATTCCGACTAAAGTTGTAATCATGATTCACAAGTTGTTTAGTTGTGACCAATTAATTTAATAATATGTGACCGAAAAATAATTGTGATCGTGAAATAAGTTGTGATCGATAAAATTTGTAATTTGTGATTGAACCTATTAATTTGATAATTCGTGATTGATAAATAAATTATGATCTATAAAATTTGTGATTCGTGATCGAAAAATAATATGTGACTTATTAATTTGATAATATGTGACTGATAAAGAAATTGCGACCTATAAAATATGTGATTTGTGTCCAATAAATAATAATAATAATAATAATAATAATAATAATAATAATAATAATAATAATAATCCATTAATTTGATAATTTGTGATTAAGAAATAAGTCGTGAGCTATAAAATTTTGATTTGTGACTATGATATCGATAATGGTGACTAGTGACCATAAATTGTATAATACTATAATCTTAATATATTTAATTAATGAAATATTTTAATTAATAGAATTTACTTAAGACCTAATTTTTGAAATAATAACCTAATTTCTTAATTTTGGAATTGTATTTGCAACAACCTTCCATATGTAATGTTTCCTCCATCAATTTGTAACTCGTAAAATTTAGAGAACAATTACGTTAAATTGGCAATAAGACATATTCCAACATAGAATGTGAAATTTTGCTATATCTGTTGGTGTACTACCCCCTACTAGGCGTGTAAGCGGTTCGATTTTATCTATTTTTGATAAATTTTCAAACCAAACCGTTTCAACCGGTTTAAGAAAAACTCAAACCTAAACCAAACCGTTTTGACCAGTTTGAAAAAAATTCAAACATAAACCTAACGGTTTGGCTCGGTTTTAAACCGCCGGTTTCGCGTATATTTTTTTGCATGTCTAGTGTCTACTTTTATGCCAATAATTCAATATATATTTATATCTTACTTGCAATAAATCTAAAATAAACTAAATATATCTACTATAAATTCAAATACTAACAAAATCAAAGTAAAATCACAGTCATATAATCCAGAGACAATTTAGATGGTTTCCATGTTCAAGAATTAAGAACACGCAGCTATGTAACTAAAATCACAGAACTTCGAAAATAGAAATAATTCTCAGGTCACAAGAAATCATGAATTTGGGGATTTTCAAGAATCGAGATGACAAACTATGTTTAATAATACCTTAGACGGTTTCCATGTTTAAGAATCAAGAACACGCAACTATATAACTAAAA